TTTTATTGGAACGCAATCAGCGGTTGTTCAAGCTAAGCGCTGAGGCAAAGTAGCCGTGGGATACAGCAGAACTTGAAAAAGTTTTTTGATCTTTCAACGTCAGCCAAACGACATGCGATTGTCAAGTTCATCGCAGTTCAATTTTACTCCACAATTAAGAACCCTAAACGAACCGCGCTTACATACATATATATATATATAGGCTTATAGCACTATATGAACGAAATTAATGTATACATTCACATGCAGAAGATATCTGACAGACTTGCATCTCTATACAAACATGTTATAAGCATTCGAATTTATGATGCATAACTCAAGTTTGCTCTTTTAATCGAAATAATGTCGTGTGATCAATTGGTTGTTGGCAACGCGACTTGTTTTCACGTAATTGAATCGTATGATATTTCATACACTTATATGATGATAGCGACTTCCAAATATAGGACAATATGTGATTTGTAAAAAAGTAGTTAAAAATATTACATCAGCCACTTTGACGCGTTTACGACATTGTTTTGATTATTGTAAGTGTTTCTATTTGAAACGGGTTTTCAATTTTGGGCGTCACCGAATTTGTTCGAATTCTGAAAACGATCCAACTGTTGTCAATGGTATCTTCCCATCATGCAACTCCTTCGTGCGAGACATTTTCTCTCCTGCATTTAAGTATTGTTTTAAATGCGCTGAGAAATCTCGGTGATCTAAATGCGTAGCAGAAGAAGTTGACGCTTGAGTTAGCTAGCACAAACAGATGCTGTAAATCTTTGAACCAATGGAGAGTTTCGCACCTGCATGATTTGCAAAATCCCAATGCATAAATGAGCACAGTTGAAGGGACGTAGCAGCATAATAAAGCCAAGAGCACAACTAAAAACATTTTTGTTATTCTCTGTTCCAGTTGCTCTGCCTTTTCTCTACGTGTGTTTGCGTTTCTTCTTGATAGCGTGTCTTCATTTTGATCGCTGAGTTGCCGGTGATTATCGTCTCCCGCCAGATGTTCCTGGCTATTTCCTCTTAAACGCTTTTTAAAAGCCCTCAGAAAAAGGCCGTAAGTGAAGCAACTTATGAAGACTGCAACTGCAACTGCAGAGTTGGCAAATATAAAAGCGTATGCAATAAACCCGACATTTAAGTAAATCCACGGTAGGCTAAGGGAGAAAAGCCAAATACCGACGATTGTGAGTAGGATCCTTTTTCCGGTGCATTTGCTCCTGTAGTTATGCGGGTCTCTGATAGCGAGGTATCGTTCCATAGCAACTGCAGCAAGACTGAGGACCGATGCTGTACAGGAAATGAAATAGGACAGGTGATTTACCTGATAGTTCAGTTCGGTTACCTCTGAATCCGTAACTTCTTTCCAGTGAATATAAACTGAAATCGGGTCACATATTAAACCCACAATAAGATCCGCCAAGGCTAGGTTACACATTAAGTAGTTACGAAGATTCCTATGGGGATCCTTAGCGACAACAATGATCACTAGAGTATTTCCCGGGATGTTGAGTAGTGTGAAAAAAAATGAAAACGATAAAGTAAGGAATGATAGTTCTTTTGGTGGTCCTGTGTCCCAACAACGATTGTCGAATTCTGCTTGCAATGATTGAAGTGACATATTTCAGTCCTAAAAAATTATATTAAAAGAACTTTATTCAGCCCAAGATCAGAAAGTCTTTATGCATTTCAAAATACTTTTTTTCAGGATATAAGGTAGGTTAGAATTAGGTTGAAGTAGGCGGTGGCTGATATTAGGGACCTTAAGCATGTAGGACGGGAACACGACGACGGCAGCTATCAATACAATGCTTCCTTGAGAAGAAATGAATTATTAAATACCCGTGGGAGTTTTAGACGTGATCTACGTTCTGTTTACAACGGCAGAACGTCGTTTATTACGTCCTATGTAGAACGTCGGCATTTCAGGACCCAGTGAGCGCTACCTCGAATTAGGCTCTATAGAATTTTCCCTAAACGTAAACACAGTTTTTTTAACGTCTTATATCTCATTAAATTGGTACAGTTGATAATCATAGAAGAACGCTTTATCATAACATTTATTTAAAGGAGTATTCCAACCACGTCGTCGTCGTGTTGCCGTCTTACATGCTTAAGGTCCCTATTAATTTAGGTACGGGTCGATTTGGTATAGGCTTCGGATTGTTATCAATTTTTTGCACGAAAACTTGACGTTCGGGAGGGATCGGGATTATCGTCTGTGCATGACTTAGCTTCTCAATATCGAGAGAATTCTCTGATAGCTGAAGAGTTTCAACAATTTTGATGCATCTATTGTATATAATTTTTCAATGTATATTATTATGCATGACTATACTTCGTATGCCAATAATTGCATGGTCCTAACCTTGCCGGCAATTTGAAGATAAGGGTTTTCGACCAGTTATGCCAAAGACAATTAGTTGCTATCGCGCGAAAAAAAACATGCACTTGGTGAAATTATTAATGGTATGGACAATAAATACTTTGCCAGCCAATGGGTCTATAAATAAGCAGTAACACGCTAACTGTTTTGCGGTATATAAGATTTTAATCTTTAATGTAGTGCAGCAAATATTTTGCTGCTGCTAATCATCTATATTGTCTCTGATCCTCTGGTTTCATAGAAAGCCAAGTTGCCCGTAACGAATCCAATAAAATAAGCATTTGCCCCCAGCCGTTGTGCGATAAGTGTAAATCTAACCATGCGTTGTTTCTGGAAAGACGACTCTGTATCATATGCCGATATGATTTTTGTCCTGCGTATGGAACCGGCACTCGTGCTGTAATTATAAAACTGCGCTTTTACTCAATCTTCGGCTAGCAATTTAATGATTTATTGTCTCCAAAAGACTGATCGATACTTTCAGTAATCCCCATAAAGTTACATTGGCTTTGAAAGTTAATTGTTCTCCGCATTTTAAGAAGTGAAATTTCGTATAGAACGTAACGAAAGTTTCGAGGTAAAAAGCTATGGGGCTAGAGTGTTCCAAGCCTTATATTATAAATTGCGGTTTAGCCGGCCGTACTTGATAAGCAATCTATTTAGCTAATTAAGAATATATATGGGAATACAAGTAACTACAACAGGACGCCGGAATGATAAGTGGCGAAAGATATCATTGGAAATCATATCACCCTACGGCTTATACACAAGCCAAGCTTCTATAGTTCAATTAAGCACATGTTACATGGTCATAGCTACATATACATTTGCTGCATCTGATCGCAGAAAGTTTTTATTAATGACTTTGTTTCAATGGTTTGAAAGATTTAATTCATACATTATAGCTCTAGCTCTATGAATAAAAAAAAATATGGAATAAGAATGACATACACTTACCGGTTTTTACAAAATGTTCGGCTACATCGATAATCTTTATAACATCCCTAAAGCTGTGCGTGCTGAGCTGTTCAAATAGTTCTTCCTCAAAATTTTAATTAGAAAATCTAATTTTTCAGTTCCTCATACATGCATTTGACACTTATTAATTATTATATATAGATCTAGCTCTTGCACCTGCTGCAAAGGTAAACAAATATATGGAGTTATGATAGCCTATAAGTCAATGAATGAGGTTCTTATTATGTTCGTTGTTCATTCTTTTTTGTTCGACAACTTAAAATATTATGTATCCAGTTAACAGTTCAGTTTATATCAAAAATTCAAGTTGATCTGGCAGTAAACTGCAGTTTTCAGTGCTGTTTAATTAAATACAAAAATCAGTCCAGTAGTCAGTACGTGTCTTATGCAGGAGAAAATAGCAGATTAGCACTACGTGCCATACCATAGCTCTTCTCAATGGGACAAAATATAACAGTGATATAAACTGAGGTGGCATCAACGAGGCGCCACAATAAAGAAGATCAGATAAATAATTTATCACATTGGATCTTTACAATTACAAACATCACGTCGCCATGACGACACTGTTCAAATACAAGTCGCCAATATCCAGCCGTAAAAAAATCAGAACATGACTTTATATTGTTTGACTTCTCTCAGGGGGATGAAAGTATCGGTTTACATTTTGCTGCTATTGCTCTTGGAAAAATACAATTGACAACTGCAATAATCCCTTTCGATAGTACGTCGCAAGATTATCGTTTTCAATTTTAAATGAAATTGATTTCCCATGATAAGAAATTAATTTTACTCTCACGAGCCACGTGTAAAGATACAAAACATCCTTGTGGCAATAAGCTTTCAATATGGCTTTTTTCCTCACTTATTTATCAAAACGAATGTATATATTGAAGATTGACGAATGTATATATTTTTGCATCTTTGCACGGCTCGTGAGAGTAAAATTTGAAATCCAACTCATTTAAGGTGGTTCTAAATTAAATTGATAATGTTGTGACGTAATTAGCGGAAGGGTGTATTGATACATACCACTGTCGCAACTTTTTGACGTCTTGCGGTACACAAGTATCAAGTTATTAGTTAAAAAGTGGTTATTTTGAAAAATACATGATGCTGATTTGTCAACCCTGTCACAAATTTATAGTTAGAAGTTAGAACCTTCTCAACTATCTTTAATTTATACAACTGATCCTGGATCTGGCGTAACTTTTGACAAGATACATGTATGGTCAAGTCAGGAAGATGCTTTCTTCGCAAATACACAGCGCGGACTCTTTATAAAGGTATATATCCTCGTGGGATTATTCAGTGGGAAATATTTTAACTGGGGTCTGGGCAAACTGGCTTGTATTTGGACACGTCCAGGTTACAACCCAAAACAGGTTCGACAAAAACAAAGATAATTTGGAATCCTTTTTTGCGCAATGTGGCGAGGTTTATTCTCAGCGCTTATATCAAACATGTAATAGTGTCTAATATGCTGCGGAAACACATGCATCATTATCATAATTTTGTATAGTCTGTATACAAAAATAATTTTGTGGATCTTTTGCAATAATGAATTTTAAGTGCGCCCTAATAGCTGAATGATTTTGACCAATCACAGGACGTATTTGTCGGTAAATGCCGTCAGCGGTCTTCAGTGGCCAGGCCACATATTGTTGTGTGTAGTGTTGAATGTCTTGTCTGCTAAATGTGTTTTAAATAGTAATTTGGGCGACGAATTTGTACGTTCCATCGTGGTTTTTCCTCGCAGCATCGAAATGTATGTGTAGCGTGTATTTCTCTGAGCTGTACACGCCGTCAAGTTGTTTTGTGTTGACACGAAATGGGGTTTACTCTTCGGAGAAACCGCATTATACTCGCAACAGTATTGTTTTTGCTTCCTGTTATTTTCTTGATTATAACATCGGATGGTGGTAACAGAGGTAAGTTTTACTTTATAATTGTTTACCGTTTTATGTTGCACTTTTAGCAAGGTAATTTAACAAGCTGCACAAGCCAAGCTTAGGCAGTTTACGCTTGTGTGCGTGTGTGCTTCCGGTCGACAATGTAACACTGTCACTCCATGAAAATAAATGTTTATTTCCAGTTTACAGACCGTTAAAAACGGAAATTAAAGTGTTGTAAAATTTATGCGGGTCTCATCTTCATTTATATTTTTTCTAATTGGTATATTGTCTTTCAAAGCCCCTCACTTTCCAGTTTCCATTCGAAGAAGCGTCATTTAAATGTTTTGTATCTATCTGTATAGAGCGTCGTAATACACTAACTTTCCATCACGGGTTCCCATATTGACACGTTATATCTTTATTTTTCTGCCGGTAGTGCTGTCAGCAACTTAATCAATTGCAGGACATATTGTATATTCATATTATATATTATAGCTTAAATTTCCCAAATCTTCCTGCTTACAAACTTGAAAATATGTTTATTTCATTCGTGTTTCGTTTATACATACCGGGTACTGTGTACATCCAACAAATGGTTTATTTATATTTAGGGCAGGTAAAAATCAGAATATATGTGTCGAATAAAATATTTTTATTTTGCTGTATAGTACGCACAGTATTTGCTTACTGCTGAGATTGTGTTGGCTATAGTGAACTGGTTTTTATGGCATTTTGCATTAATTTGATCTAATTAACATGTTACATGGCCCTTTAAGGTAGATTTCTAAAACATGAATCTTTGGAACTACAGCACGTTTAGATTTCGGATACCGATTTGAGATTTTCAGTTTCGTTTTATTCAGCAATTTTGAAACAAATATCAAAATGTGAAGATAACTTGTTCATATAGTAATCCCTTAATAAATTGTTTCATGTGTAAATGCACTTGGTCAAGGTTTGAATTAGCAGAATCCAATTTTAGTCTTTGTAGTCATGGTAATTATTTGAATGATAAAAGAAACTTTTTAAGGCTGGATGTATAGATCTCTTAACTACATTTTTGGTGATTAACTTCAGTTAATTCCATAATACATACTTTTGATTTGCTACTGTCTTTTACTTACATTGAAGCCATTGGAATATGATCTTCTTAAGTCCTGTAATATAAAACCTAAATCACAATAGGAAGTTTAATCTTAACTTTTACAGTATTAATTAATGGCAACTGGCACCAGTCAATGCTTTCGTGTTGATGTTTACCAAGTATATTTTGCATATGTATCCTAGCTTGACAGTGATTTCAATAAAATCTGAAACTCTGTTATTCTTTACAGTGACAATTTTTTTATCAGAAGATTTTCACACATATGTGTGTACTAGATTACAAAATACATGTATAACATTTGAATTGTTGGTGATATTTGAAGTGTAGCTTGATGCAGAGCAACACCAATAAATTAGCTTTCAATTCATCCATATGCTTATAATTTAATGTGATTGATAATTTTGATACATTTGATAATTGTACATTTATGCATTTTATATAGTTCTAAAAACTGGTGTGGAAGTTGATCCATCTATCATTGAAAGATTGAAAGGCCTGTCTATGAGACTCCGTCTTGTAGAATCAAAGAATGATGAAGTTGCTCAAAATTTGATATCCATTAGGTCATCATCGTCATTACATCAATATAAAAGTGCATTAAGAAACAATAGAACTAAAATTAAAGATGCAGAATTTCTGAACAATACTCAATTAACACTACCTAGTATATATAATTATATGTCACACTTATTGGGAAGCAAGAACAGTTTGGTGCCAGCAACTCAAGTCTCAGCTGGCAGACATGGAGGTACTATAATTTCTATAATATATAATCTTTGTTTTGGTGGATGTAAGATGCAGAACATGGTCTTCCATAAGCATTGCATAATTATGAAACCATGGACAAGTAACTGTGTCAATAGCCTGGAAAATTAATTCCCCAAATCTGAATCTTGATCCAATGATTAATTTTAAATTAAACAGAGTCATTTAAACTGTCCTTAATACTAATTCATGGAATGTACAGCAAATTAGTTTATCATATTTTCATCTTTTATTGATTTCTGCTCTTTCAGTTTCCCTTGCTTTTGGAGTTCCAACTATCAAGAGGGACAAGGCCAGTTATGTTTTAAACACAATCCAGTCACTTATAACAGGAATATCGGATGAGGAGAAAAGAGATTGTATACTCATTGTATTTATAGCAGAAATTGAAGATAAAATCTTTGTAAGCAAGCTAATCAAAGAACTGAAAGACAGGTATGTACATTCATTAGCCTTACTGCCTTGAAACTCATTGCAGTAGAAAAAATTCTTGGCAAGATGACATATATTGAAATATGATTCTGTTTTGTTAAGTAATTGCTAAATGCATCAATGAACATTCTGTTGAAGTGACTAGTGAATATAGGGGAACTCATTATGAAAAATTGAAATTGGTCACAAAAATCAAAATACACATCACAAAAGCAAAATAATTTCCATTTTTTTATCAACAGGTTAAATTTGATATTTTATTTCAGCTACCTTTGATACGGAAACAACGTATCACAACAATTATCACATACATCTCCTAATAAAGAGATTAATGGCTGGATAACACAGGTGTTCAGCGGGTATAGGGGAGGCTATTCTCTCTTCTCAACCACGTATCTTGATTAAATAGCTGTGTGAGAATTATCTAAAAAAAACCAGTCACATCAAATGTGTTATGTGCATGGTGTAACTGCCTAAAAAGACTTTTCGAGGTTTTAAACCTCCATCAGTGTTTTTATCTATTTCAGGACGCTTTTTAAAACATTTGATGCGAAGTTGTTAAAAGACGCTGCTATTCTGTTGCTTGGTTATATTAGTTTTTATCGGCCATAATGTTGATATTGGATTCAATGGTCAAGCACCTTGATCTTGCGCAAGCCTTGGGCCCCCGCTTCTCTTAAGCATTGTCTGCTTAGTTTAATTCCTTGACAATCCAATATTTGCAATATTGCACACAATACATAACATCAGATAACGATAATTACATGTCAATTTTTCAGGCATCTTTACGTTTAGCTTAGTGTTAAGACATCGAAAATGAGACGCAAAAGTAATTTCGGTAAAAGTATTTCTATAGGACAACTGTATTTTCTTCATAAACATGTGTGATGTGACAGATGTGTGGTAGTGCACTCACACGGACACACGTCAGTGGTTATTTTCAATTTTGGGCATGTTAATTATAATGACAATGTGCAATGTATTTTTCATCCTAGGTTTCATAGCTATATTCGTTCAGGATTAATAGAAATTGTCGTCCCGCCAAAAGAATTTTATCCCGATTTGAATAACCTTCCAAAAGATGTAACTTTCCACGATCCTCCTTTGCGAGTGAAGTAAGTCTCTTCATTTTCTACCTTAATAAAAACTTGTTAAAATATTTATAAATCAATCATTTAAATATCAGCATCGTACACACAGGGGGTACTATTGGGAGCATGGCCATATTTATTATGTATTTAGGCTAGACTATAGTATATATTCAGTAATAGAGTAAGAGTGGAAAATTCATCCGTCTTAAAAAGTGATAACGATTTTCCGCGCATTGCACTCATTAAATTGAACTCCTAATGGGGAGTTAGGAGTAATTCTAAAAATTGTGAGAGTGGGACCTCGTGGCCAAGCGCTTCATTGAAAAGCAATTTACACACAGCGTCTGTATAGATATCATACGAAGCTGGTTCGATTTGATCGCCAGGGGGCTCGAGTTGGTGTTAGATTAAGTTTATGATGTTAATAATTTATGAAGTATGTCCTGCTTGTCAGCGCTCCATTGATATAAATTTTATTTTGCTGTTAGCCTTCTACAGTACATAAGCAGAGACTTTGGACCAATATTTGTACTTTCTGTACAAATGTAACTTAGACGACTCATTGTTTATTCGATAAAATTTTAATTCAACTTTACTTTTCAAGATGGCGAACAAAGCAGAATCTGGACTTTTCATATCTCATGATGTACGCACAGCAGAGAGCTCGGTTCTATGTTCAGGTAAAATAAGAAGAATGACTTCCTGAAGTGTTCTTATCCCTGCCCTTTAGCTCTGCATGATGTGACAGGATTTTTTCGGTATCTCATTCATGCTTTCGTTTAGCTCGAAGATGATTTAATTGCAACACCTGGATACGTGAGTACAATACGAACCTTTGCTTTGCAACAAACTGAGAATCGTTGGATGATCCTTGAATTCTCGTCCCTTGGTTTTATTGGTATGTAAAAGTACTTCTGCATTTTATTCAATTAAATAACCACAGTTGTTAACATGACGTACATTTACTCGAGTGGCCACACTTGTATATTAGTCATGTAAAGCAAAGTTCTTTTTTGTGAATCTGATCCATTGGTCTGATCAAACCGCCCGTGTATGCATGAGCAACAGCAATCTTTATTGCAATTTTTATCAATCTTCAAGTATATGAAGTCCCAAATATCGTTGATAAGACACTGACTGCATGTAGTACCCCAGAGGCCAGATGGAAGAAGACTGGAGTCACTGGATAGTAATCATCAGTCACCCTGGGGGCCGTACGAAGCCTGGATAGCGCTATCCACCAGATAGTGATGTTTTCAAGTTTCAACCATTCTAAAATGCTTGGAAAGCAATAAATTTCTGCTTTGAAACCAACAATTGTTAAAGAGGATTCTCAATTTAGGAATACTAAGATTTAGTCGAAGTTATTCCTAACAAAGGTCGATTTTAAAGCGATTGAAAAAAAAAAACCCCACTATCCGGTAGATGGCGCTATCCGGCTTTCATACAACCGGCGCCTGAACATCAATAAAAATCAATGAAGCCAACAATTAATAACGAGAAACTTCGATACTGGGGTGCGGCTTTTACCATACTTCAAGGGCTTTCAGGCTATTTTTGGGCAATTCGAACAACTACATGATTGCATCTGTTGGAATATATTCATATAGCGCTATCCCGCATTCCTATAACCGCGGTCCTCATGTTATCCCTAGAATTTATACATTTTCATTGATATTGCAGGAAAACTATTCCGAACAAGTGATCTACCAGCGATTGTTGAGTTCTTCCTTATGTTTCACAAAGATAAGCCTGTTGATTGGCTACTCGATCACATACTGTGGGTTAAAGTGTGCAGCCCGGATAAGACCAGGTAACCACCCGGTAATCACATAAATCCGGTTACCCGAGATTTAACGTAGCGTAAAATGACTTTGAGGTATTGAATTGAGTAAATAACATGATTCTGGTTGTCGTGTAGTCAGCCTAACAAGAGCACGTGCTTGTTTTGATTCAAGGAAGGCTCATTTCAATACCTCAAATCATCTCACGTGTCGTTAAATCAGAGGTAACCGGGCGTATGTGAACAGCTGTATATTTATAATCCTTTTTAGTTAGCTACTTGTTCTAGCTGCTAGGCATGATATTCAAAGAATCTGAATTTCATCTCGCGTCACATTTTTTGTGAATTGAGCCTGATTACTAACATGGCCGGATCCTATAATGCGGACGCATGACGCAGATGCAAGACTAGGTCACTACACTAATTACATGTCACACATGCTGTTAATACTGGATATAGTCTGCTTCGTACGCGACTGCGCCAAGTACGGTATTAATATTGGTGTACAAATACATATATGTTATTTACCGGCTGCGAGGTCCGGTAAATGACATGTTTATTCGTATTATGCAATGGCGACGAAAACATAAACAATCAAAACCTGGTTCGTTTAATCTACTAAAGTTCACTTCAATTTATCGTGATAATCATTTGGTCGATATATTTAAAAAAAAGGTAAAAAAGTCAAAAGTTTGCGAAAAAATCTTTAGAAAAACAAAACAAATACGCTTTCGCTCGAGCATGAAATATAGGATTCCGGACCGTGGTCAGATATCGGTAAAATTCCGCCCGCGACTACAGCCAATCAGATTGTATAGGAAAGGCTAGGATTCCTCCCGCTGCTGATTTGTAAAAAAAATAATTGGCTAATATGAGTGCGTGGCCTGCGTCCAAGGCTTTGAAAACAGTACTGATACTTGTGGTGTATTACTGTATGAACCTCGCGTGTGGTAGTCCTCCAATTCTTCCATTTTATACTTTAGGCTCACTGCAATCGAGAAAAGGCTCAGTTACGAATCCGTTTTAAGCCTTCTCTGTTTCAACATGTTGGAAAGGAATCATCATTGCCTGGAAAGAGACAGAATTTAGTTGTAAGTTTACGGGGCTACGGCCAGTATAGATAAAGAAACATTATGGTATGAGTGAAACATCACTGACAAACAGCTCCCCTGCAGTACCAAATATACCGAAAGGTCCGAAACAAAGTATTCATGAATTACATTTATTAACGTGGTTACATACGTCTGCGCTTCTGTCATTTTATTCAGTGCGCAGTCAGCTTGATCCCAGGGAGGTCCAACTACGTAATTGTCTTCTTTAAAGACAATCGTGAAAGGAATATGTAAATCACCCATCCTCAGATTACCCACTGTGCTGCAATGATATCAGTCTCTCGCATTCAAAATTAGATCCCTTTCTGCGTAGTGCACGTCTGAGACATGGGTTGCGACTCAGTTACCATAGTTACAGAAACCTATTTATAATACATATACGTTTGTATAGGATAAGGATTTCAAGAAAGCTCCATTGTTTCAAGCTCATCTTAATCCGAAGGCGTCAGTAATCACAACAATCAATGTGTACCAAACCCATACGATAGAAAGGGCGTACACCGGGCAGAGTTTCTTTTGGGGTCACACCCCACACAAGGGAGATGTTGTTCGGTTCAAGTTCGATGAAGAACTTTATCTTGAACAGTAAGTGCACAACTGAATTTCTGCATGCATTCATAAGTAACAAAACTTTACCATAGTATAACTTTTAGTATAATTTAGTATAATTTCAGTGCTAAGTATCGAAATACATGTTGCAATTTAAAAACATGGATGTGGTAAATATGAATTTGTAACTTTTTCTAGTTTTCGTATCAATACTGGAAATGTGGAACATCCTGGTGACATTTTTCCAATGCATCTGTCGAGATTTTGACAACAGAGAGCAAGTTGAAAAGAGAGAAATGTGAGTATTAAGAAGTTGGTCAAATAGATGGAAAGGTATTTGTGTAAATTAGGTTGTGTGCAGTTGTCATACCAGGTGAAGTAAGTAATTAAGGTATTTTCCTACGAAAACCTAACATTACCTCATACGTTTAGGTAATCATGGAATATACAACCAGTTATTAATAGTATACCAGTGATGTTTGAAGATTTTGCCAAGCTGCCATGACCCGGGGAGGGTTTTTAAAATCACGAGTACTATTCCTTGCTAACAGTATGCACGGGTAGTGAAACTGTGACAATGACAATTGTCAAAATGCTTGATGACTAAATATTCATTCTATTCCGGGACAACTTACGTTTTAGACCGAAATTAACTAATGATGCAAATAGTCATAATATATCACGTAAAGCCTGGTTTCCATTTTGTGGTATTGTAGTGAACAAGTCATTTTTTAAAAGGATAGTCCAGATAATTCAAATCGGTCATTGTTGACTGTATTCACAAAAATATTCTATCACATCAGCCACCTTGACATGTTCACGACAATTGCGACTTAAATTGAACCAGGCTCGATATTTTAACTATTCATGTTTCTTGAAACAGTGTCCCATGAAACTCCTGCATCTGACGTGGAAGCACAGAAAACGTTTGTAAAAGGAGAATTTTTGCCTAATGATTATATTCGTGTGGGTAAATTTGTGAACGGTCTTGCTGATTATGCTGTCCCAGCTACGATTGGTAAAGTGAGTGAGCTTCTGATTAGAGTCAATGATCATACTGGACAAAACTGGGTGATAATTAGTGAGGTATGTCTGATTACGCAAGGTTATATTGCTCGTTCGAACACATCAACCGCAAAGTGTGGCTAAAAAATATTGCAAAATGCGGGAAATACAGTCCTGAAAGAGATTGCACCTATATTTTCCGCATTTGACAAAGCTTTGCCACCAAACCCTGGAATTTGATCATGTACTGTATAGAATGCTCTTCCCAGCTGTGTATTGATTAACATTTCTAGTTAAAAACGTGTCATGGTAGTATAATACATCGGCCTATTTCAACTAATACACATATGTTGTTGCAGAGTTAGGGTTTAAGATTCGAGGTATTATGTTCCTCATTTCTACAAAAGTTTCTACACAAGAAAAATGTAAACAAAAGATGTATGCACAGGGGTGCATGGGATATCGGAACAATATCGATACCAACGTCTGAAATTAAGAATTCCTTTTAGAGTTTTCCAATATAAATGCATGCATGTATTGTAGATTAGGAGACATGAAAGATTGCACATAGATGTCCTTCATTTTTTTTCTTCGTAGATTCACATAATAAAGAGGTAACACCAAGCAATGTCTCTACAATCATAACGCACTAATATCTTCCATGAAGATCTCTTCGCGAGGTATAAACACGTTTGTGCACCTGATGAGTAATGTGAAACGCACTCTGAGCAAGTCTGAGCAATCTGGGTTTGCTGCAAGTACTCGTCATGGAATGGAGTTCCCGAAATCAACACCTACAATAAACACGTTGATGAATTTTGCTGCTTTTGCTAACGAAATGACGGATAGAACCTTTAGTTTATACGACTGAGATCAATCCTTTCCTTGGTTTTCAAAATTCATCTAACAGGCATGTGGATAGTAGATACCGCCATCAAACTTTCAAAAAAGCCCCTGTTGTGAGAACACAGTCAGCCAGCTGTAAATTCAATTTCTAAATTCCCCGACGAAATAAGTAATTTGTCAAAATCAGTTGCAAGATGGCGCTTCGTTGAAGATACTCAAGTGAATTAATTTATTATTACGGAAAAGCTGGCGGATGACTGCATATTTTTTGGAAAATGCATGACATGTGAAAAAAATGGAAAACGTTGCAAGATAAACTACCAATGACGTCTTTAACACATAAAAGAAATTACCTCCTTTACGACTGCCATCAACTGCTATCTACCTCATTTACGACTGCTATTCGCTTTTTTCCACTATTCATTCTGTTGAAATGCACATCCTCCATCTTTCTGCGATTATAGATAAAACAGATCGGCAGAAATGTTATTTAGTATACTCGTTTTGTAAAGCCTCGTTACTCAATGCAATTTTTCTTTCAAATAGCAACGCAATTATATTTTTGAGAGATGTAAATGTGGCAACTACGAAATCTGTGCTTATTAATTCTCGAAAACTCTTCACTGAGTTTACATCCCTAAAAAATAGAATTGCATTGCAAATTGCAAGAAAAATTGCATTGTGTATCAACACGGCCTTAAAATAGTGTTTCTAGTCCAAACCTCTGATCTCTTTTCTATAGTATAGTCATAATTTTTTAATAGGTTTTTTGTAGTTTAAATGTAGTTATTTAATAAATTGTTGGCACCACAAACCGTTTGAAGGCGCAGGAGCTTTTTGGCAGTTGACTTGAACATGATCCCGAAAATGATTTTGAGGTAATGAAATGCGTCTCCACGAAATCTGAAGCATATGCTGTTGTGTATATGACATCCTCGGAGCTGAACTAGAATAAATAAAACTTGGAATGAGAATTTTAGTTTGCTATAAGAAAAGCTACGAAAGAAGTTTTGCGAGATAGAGAACAATACAGTAGAACAATAAAACAATAGAATAAGCCAATCGATATTTTTTTGAAAAAAATATTCAGGATCGATTAGGGAGACAACCTCGCAAGCCAGGATCTTGTTAGAGAGACATTTAAGTTTTCATCCCTTGACTCTTAAAAACAGAATAAATCGTGTTTTTTGTATAAGACCAAGGACCACGTTAATAGAAAATGGCGGTTTCCTGTGATCACCAAGCATGACAGAAACGCGTTAACTAAAACGTGATTTTTATCCCAGCCCTTGATCGTAGAATTGTAATGTTTTGATGTATAACTGCAGTCTACAGTAATATATTTAGTTTCGAAATTGGAACAATTATATATAGCCGCCTTTCTCCGTACATTTTGAATGAAGAGATTTCAACGCGCATCTCATCATCATTTTACTAACTGATATACTCCGTATCATGGATATGATACAAAATCCAGACAAATCACTGAAACCACACAGATGTTAACAATGGCGCTACAAATTGTTGGGACAAACGGGAACAAACTTGTTAATAATAATGTTGTTACAACGCGTTAAAAAAGACTTGTAGCAAGTTGTTGTTAACGCCAACAAATTGTCAACAACAACTTGTTCGGACAAATTTGATAACATTAATTTTGTTCTCAACAAGCTTGATACAAGTTGTTCAAACAACTCGCTACAAGTCCGCGAGCCAACAAGTTGTAACAAGCTTGATATCTACAAGCTTGTTCAGCACGATAAGTCAACAAGCTTGTTACAAACTTGTTCACAACTTGCGACAAGCTTGTTGAGTCAACAACTTGTCAACAAGGTGTGAGATTTTTAGGTGTGTATGTACTAAATATTATATACTGCAGAATAAAGCTAACGATAAAAATGAATGGAATTGAATTGACAACTACGTGTACACGTTGCATAAAATTGACTATGCTTTTAACAATAGATAGATTATCTGCAGCTTTTCTTTGTTTGCTGCCGTTATTATCTTTTATGAATATTGATTAGTGAAAGCTATGTCTATGATGTTGATATCATAGAAATTCAGTAGAATAATAACTTGTTTCTCTGAACGACGGTAATAGGGATTTTCAAAGACAGATTTGACTTTTCATCCATGATAACCTTCACCAGTACAGCGTAGTTGAACATAATGCTTTTTCTTGTTTCGACTGTCGGAATCAAGTCCATAGCAGGTTGTATGTCTAACTCTACGTTGGATAGTGTTACGCACTGTTTCGTCTGGACGCTCTCCGCAGCTACCTTGCTCTGCAATACTTTAATCGTGACGCATTTATGTAAGCTGCGGTGATCACTTTCGTTCTCGATAAGGCCAACATCTTGCACAAGCTGAGCGATAACAAATTTTGTTTGAACTTTTCTTTCGCTATTGTCTACGGTAATATTGAGGGAGATCGTCTCGCCGAGGTAGTATACAACGCGACCTAATTCACAAGTCAGGTGTACCGCAGCAGCTAAACCGAGCACCCCACTTCGATAAGACTTACGATATGTCTTCGGCATTGAATATCCAGGAATCTCCGTTAACTCTCGGGTTTGGCGAAATTTAAAATCCTTTCTACATCTATGCGCCAAAGTGTGTTTCGATCGTATAACGATGCTTTCAATGTAATAACGAACATAAGCCGTTATACCAGAATAAGATGTGTTTAATTCAAACGACGACGGTAAGTGATTCCTGAGCTGAAAATGAAACGGTACTCTGTAACGAACGTTCTCTTGTAGTGTCGTTTCGAAATGCTCGCTGATTTGTGTTTCCGGGGTTGGAAATATAATTTGAACTATGTCGATGAAAACCTCCCGCCGTTCTGTGTTTGCTAAAGAAATATAGGCTTGCCCTGTGAGCTTCACTTGAATTTCGTGTATTGTAGTCGGTTTGCTTGGGCAGATTTCGAGTATTCCAGACAACACACATGGTTGATAGGCACCATCTTGGTTTGCAAGAATAATTTTAACATCTTTAAGATCATCGCTCATACTGACTCCGTGTTGTGTTGAACTTAAATACAAGTAATCGTTGACGCTTGAGAGTTGAGGACCAAAACTTAACATATACGCTACGACTCAAAATACAGCTGCCTCATGTCAGTAACGTTTTATCTAATCATTTACATTGCAAAGTAGAGAACATGTGCAAATTAAGATAGTATCTCGCATTCGCGCTGTTCCAGCTTTAACATTTTAGAGGAAAGTGTAATATTTATTTGACAATGAATGAAAAAATTCCAAAAAATCTAGAAGTCAGAATAAAAAATGGCAAATATTCTATAAGAATCACACTCTTCAAATAAGATTAATTCAATTTTGTCACACGCTTTGATTGTTTGGTCTATTCGTTTGATATATTTTTCATGCAGTTAAAGTGCTGTTTCTGGTCGTGAAGATAAGTTAGTCATGTGCCGAATCAAATGCAAACGAGCTTTATAAACAAAGACTTTAGCTTATTAACATCAGGTTCGGCACATGAAAAGTTCGACGTCTGAAACAGGCCTTAAATGTGATAATTCATAAGCCATATATTTTTTTTTTTTTTTAAATTTTTTCGCCCATATCCATATCAAACTCTTGTAGTACAAATTGGGACATTTGCCCTAGCTAGAGTCTAGTCTCTTTTGAGAGCAATACCGCGCGGCCATAAACAAAGATGGCGTTGAGATCGAAGCGAATTCATGAAGCGAATTTTGAAGCCGGCCCATCTCGGCGTTTTGCCGATGAATACATTAATAATAATGAGTTTTCGTCCGCAAACACGTCAACTAAAAGAAGATTCATAGCCATAGGTTTCTCCGTTCTTTTGCTCAGTGCCTCTCTTTTGATAAAGTATATATGAGTAAGCTGAAATATAGACACAGAGTGTTTATCAACTCCGAACAAAGATATTTTAAACTTTTAATATGGACAATCATCAAAAATTTATAATTTTAATACTTACTTGCTTATTTCGTAATTAAAAGAAGGAACTGTAGTCCGTAGAAAAGGCGTACTTTGTTCGTATTCATGCTCTATCCCTTCGACGGAATGAATTTATGAGGTAAACAAAACCAAAATCGAGAAAGAAACCCCGAAAAACCGAAGATATAGAGCCATTGGTCCACTCTTAATTCGCTTTGAATATGTATGAATTTGGTATCAAAATTTGCGCCAAATCATGTAGATTCCAAAAATGGAAGTAACTAGACGTCACAATGTATTGCAACAGCGCTAGCTCCAGTTTCCCTCTCACTTCCGCCGTGAGTAGGTCACTCAGCGGTGAAATTCTATAATAGCGGCGTACTAAAAAACCCCAAAGTCCAGGTCTAGAACGTGATGAATCTGTATGAAAATTGCATTACCAGACGTGCCGAAGGTGAAATTTTTAAATCCCGCTGGTAACTAAGATGTATTTTTTACGCACAACGCACGAGCAGGAAAAAACCACGAATTTTGAGTCAAATAATATAGCCGCGCAGCTGGAAGCGCGCTAACTTGAAACACGATATACCTTTTGTCTACACAGAGTTTGATATGTATTTACACGTAACCAGTAATTAGAAGAAAATATTTACATAGTAGGGCTAGGAACCTTCTAGAAACCATAGGGCTTTTGTTTAAGGTCCCTAGATTACAATTAACTAATTATATACCAAAAATTGTCAGTTCGATTATCTATTCTAAATAAGAAGATAGCAATATTAACTAAGATCTAAATATAATAAACAAGCTATTCCAATTGTATTGTGTGATATGAAAGAGAAAAATATTATACATGCAAAGAGTATAGAGTTTACATTATAATCCTTTACAGCCATTTTTATGGTAG